GTGCCACACCCCACAGAACAGGAGGTCGCTGTCCAAGCACGACCAGGTAAGTCTCCTCCTGCCTGCGTTTGGCAGGGATGAGCTGCGGTCCCCTCCCCAAGGTGATGGCTCTCAGTGTGTCAGGCAGTGCCCGGTGCACAGGCCACGGCTGCCAGCGTGAGCCAGGGCTGCTGTGACACTGTCCATGTGCTGCGTGGGGAAAAGCCTCCTTTGCCCACCCTGCATCCCAAGGAGCCCTGCAGGGACCCAGCAGTTTCTGGGACCAGGACACGGCGCTGCAGGAGAGACACAGCTGTGAGCACAGCGGAGGGCAGAAGGATTCTGCTGTCAGTGGGACCGACCCTAAAGGAGCACACAGAACTTCGTCAATGGATTCCTGTCTGGCATCCAGCCCCTGCCCCGCTAGTCCTGCTCCAGCTGCTAAAAATGTCGGTCCCTGAAGAAGTGGAGTAAGTGAAACAAAAGTCCTTAAGGTGCTAGTCACACATTCCTATTTTTTCTGGTCTTTTTTCTTTTTTCTGTTTTTTTCCTAATAGCCTGTCTCCCTCTATCAAGTCACATGGAGAAAAAGATGATGTACTCCATGGCATAGCTGACAGTATCGAATCGATCATGACAACAGTAGTTGGTTAACAGTGTTTCTTCCAAGGAGACATATATTTTTAATAAACAGAGAGTTGCAAAGAACTCTTGTCTTTGAGACCTTCTTTTAGAGTCCTTCATTGTGTATCAGATCTGGGTTTTTTGGTGCTGGTGTTAGCAACTCTTGATATGGTCTCTCTATGGCAAACTGAAGTGTTGACAGTGGTTTAGGAAAAAAATAGCTTTTTTTAGTATAAAAGGTGATGCCTGAAAACTTGCCTAGTGGAAAAAGGAAATCTCAAAAAAAAAAATTGAAAATAAAAGAAAGGAAGTGGGCTTATTTAGAGCTGCAACTCAGCCACTGAAAAGTGCTTTTGGTTGGGTTGTTTTAACCCAAGTTAAGTCTGGCCTGATGACACAACACCATAATGTATTCTGGATCATGGATTGAATTCTGGGGAGGTTGCTTTACAAGTAATAGGGTTTATAGGCTGCTACATAATTGTTCTTGTATTAGATATAAAGACAACAAAGGAAATACATAGTCCAACTAATACAGAGCTTCTTTTCACAGTTTTAACATGCTGTTTAAATATCAGAGAGAAGAAAAGTTGTAAAGACAACAAGTATCATTTTTACCTTCAAATGCAAAGAAAAGGAATGTTCACTGAGAGACAAATGTGGTTAAAGAAGTGTCACAGTACTTTCATGCCTGAATCTGCTTTGTCATTTAGGTGAGCTGAAGGAAGGGTGAAGGGGGTTGGTTTTTAAGTACTAGATTTCTTTGCACAGAAGAGAAGCAAATTGTGATTTCAGGGGAACAAGGACGTTGTACCAACTGAGCATGGGCATACGTTTGCTGAGTGTTCAGTTTGTGAAGATCACTGGACAAATTCAAAACCATTTAGAAACTCCTTTAACTGATCAGATCAACAGGCCGGGGGTGGTGGTTGTCCATAAAACACCAGAAGATTAAGCAGTTGCTAAGCAGACCTGATGCTAAAATTAACCACTCTCAAAAATCAAACTTTGCTTGCATGCTGACAGATTTGGAGTCATGGATGAAGCAGCACAGAAATATTGTCTGTTGCTGCTGCCCCAGTGCTGCCAGGCTGCCCTGCCCAGCCCAGCCCATGTGGGGCTGCAGACACCCCTTCCCTTGCAGCCCATGGCCTGTCCTGAGCTCATGTGTCACCTCCATCTGCTGGGACAGGGAAACATTCAGGGTCCCAGGAGGGAGAGCAACTCGGGGTTATCTTCTCAAATAAACCCTATCACTCCTGTAAGGCAGAACAACCTCTGGAAGAGAAACGTGATGAGGAGGGTGGTCTGGAGAAGGAACTTGCTCTGTTAAAGCTGTAATCACCCATTTTCCTGGCTAAGGATAAGTTGCTCTGCCAACCAGGACTTTTGCAGTCTTGGCCCAGAAAATAGAAGAGCATTGGCCTGAGAATGGTCCTGTCTAGTTGTGAAATGTAGGACTTGGTTCTTTTCTCTTCCAAGGTGTCCTGCTAAAGCTGCCTGCAACCAGCAGGAAACTAATCTCTCCTAAGACGCCTCTAGAAAATTAGACTGTAAGCTGCTTGTGCTATAGAGAAACATGTCTGTGCATCTGTCTGCAGCTCTGGGTAATTAGCTGTCTTAGCTCAGCAGAAGAACACAGGTTGTGCTGTGAGGCTACTGGAAAAGGGGCTTTAAAGGAATGTAATTAGAAATTTCTCAGCATTTTTTCTCCATTGATGGAGCTGTCTTAGATACACCCGTTGTTGCTAATGATGCTTGGCAGCACAATCTTCAAGAACTGCTGTTCTCTGCTTTCCTCAGGCTGTCACAGCAGGATTCATGGCACTGAAGCTGCTGTTGTCAAAGGTGTTTCCTCAGTAATCCTTGGGTACACCTTGACCTTCGGTGTTTATTTATATCCCTTGCCTCAAAAAATGCAGGTCATTTGTTTACCCTTAGGGTTTTTAACCCTCAGAAAAAACACTAGACAATGTGTAATGTGTGTAGTGCAGCATTTCTGAATGATACAAGCACATGGGAGTACCTATGGGACTTGCTTGGGGCCACACTAGACTCAGCACAGGGATGACTCTGGAATTTCCTCCTCTATTACAGTGCACTACTTGAAAAAGCTTCTACCCAATCCTCTAGTGAGCCTCAGCCCTCTTCCACTTACCTTGATGTATGATTACTGTGACCACTTCAAAGTGTTAGTGGCCAGCCAGCTCCTCTTCCTTTCCTCCCTCTCCCAAATGCTTGATGCAGCCACAACAGTGGGAGCAAAGCTCTTCTCACACTGTCTGGTGGGAGGTCTACCCTCAGTGGAGAGCTGCTGGAGAAGCCCTGCTCATGCTGCAGGTGCCTCTGGGTGAGAGGTGGTAGAAGGGGCTCCAGGGCTCAGCAGCTCAGCTGGTATCTTCCCTGCCCTGCCCCATTCCAGACTCTTCTCAGCAAGGATGTTTTTCCCAGGGCAGTCTCCCTGTCCCATCAATCCCAGGGGGTCAGTTTGGACTCGCCCTCTCCCTGGACCTATTCCAAATTCACACTGCAATTCCCTTGTGCCTCTGCACTGCTGCTCCTCCCCAAACAGTTACGAAGTCAAATTAGCAGGGGAAAGGGGCATAAAATACTGGCTGGGGAAAGGGGAGGGAAGTTTGTGACCTCCCATCCTGGAGGATCCATTTGTGTTCTCAGAAGCAGGGAGGACTCTGAAGTACAGAACTAGTGTCCAGCACACCCTGGAGCTTCTACAATGATGTGTAAATAGGAAAGTACAGCTGCAATGCCACCCTCTGGAACCATCTGTGGACATCCAGGGATGAGAACACAGGCTCTCTGAGCTGAAAGAAAAACAGGGATCAATGAAAAGGTAAGAATGGGGGAGGAATGAACAGCCCTGTTGCTGTTGTTGGCTTAGAAAATATTTATAAACCGCAATCACCCTCGATGGGCTACTGAACTGTAAAGCAGCATTTAGCCTGGTAAAATAACCTGGACCAGCCTGCATCTGGACCAGCAAACACCTGCAAAGGTGCAATTGCACACAAACTACCTACTGGGAACAGCCACTGGAAATGCAGCTAATTACAGTCTGATTCAACTAGGAGAGGAATTCTTGCCCTACTTAAAAACTTTGGTAAATACTAAGCCTGGAATAAAATGTACTATGTAAAAATGTTCAGGAAGAGATGAGTACTATCAGCAGAGTCTGAAACTTATCTGATATGGGCTCTTCAGTGCTGTCTGTAGCATAACAGAAATCAGAGTATCTCCAAGGAAAAAATTCAAACCATTCTGGCTGTAGGCAAACCCACATTTAGTGCTTGCTGCCTTCTAAGGCTGTATATAATTACCTCCTTGCACTTGCTGGGCAAACATGACCTTTCTCACCAGGTACAGTGTGACACCTTTACCTGTATATGTGTGTGTGCAAGTCAGAACTGAGCAGTAATTAAAGCCAGCCCGGCAGGCTCCAAGATGATGCTGCAGGCAGGATGGAAACCTTTGAGTTTGTGGCATTGTTTAGAGTCCCCCAGTGCTGTGATGCAGCATGATCTCCAAAACTGACTCCAGAAGAATTTTCTGTGGCATTTGAGACCTGGGTTTTTATAGATTTAAAGGTATTTCTTAGTTAAACAGCCAGTACATTGTGCATTAGAGATCTGAAAGCAGTGTCTCAGAGACCCAAACTAGGTCTAGTGAACAGATTTAAGTTCACCGTGAAATGGAGAATTTAAACTAAACAGATCCATTCCCCTGTTAAGGAACTCCCCTGTGCTACCTTTCAGATGCCCCTCCTGGGGTCACACTGACACCAGCCCAGACTGTCCCTGCTGGGACCGAAGGCCCTTTGCAGTGGCAGCTCCAGTGACCCTCATTTCCTCATTTGGTTCCCTGCACACCCCACACTCACACAGACAGGATTCCCCACTGGCTCAATCCCAGGTTTCCCACAGCCAAGTCCCAGATGTGCTCAGACTTGCTGAGCACCTGCCTGACCCAGGGTTCAATGAGCTGGAAGGGAGTGCAGCCCTCACAGCACTGCCAGTGACAGCTGCAGCTTCTTCCCTGAGCTCAGCAGTGCTGGTTTTCCTATTCCATGGGACAGTGAAACCAGCAAACAGCTCTGAATTCTTGTTTCCACTGAAATGGACTGGAAACTAAACAATCTGATAAATATTTATGTAGCAAAGCAGCTATGACAACCAGAGGAGATGGAATAGTTTTTAAAAACTTTTATCATGTTCATTGCCATTTGCTACTAAAACCAAATATTTAAACCAACCTGTTACACAATAGCAGAGACATCTCATATAAAAGTTAAATATTTATTTCTAACCATTAAGTAGCTCCAAAGAATGAAAATTATCCCCTAAAGGAAAACAATTACATTTCTTGAATAAACACTTCCTAAAAAGTACACAACTTCTTTGCCAACAAGAAGGAGATCCTAGCCTCTTTCCCACTGCTCCCATGGCCCTGTGCCTTCACAGAGCTAATGGCCTCTCATTCAGCAGAAAGTTTCCCAGAGAGACTGCTTTGTAGTTGTGGCTGTCATTATTCTTCACTTGGAATAAATCCTTTTGCTCTGTCCAGCTTGTCCAGAACCTCACTATAAAGGCCAACCATCTGGAGAATATGAACACCACAGTTGTCAACAAGAATGGATAAAAATGTACCATTTAACTAAGTGTATCATTTAACACAGAATAGAACTAAGAGAATAGGTGGGAGACTACCACCAGCTTCAAAACCTAAAATTTCAAACTGATGTAAAGATTTTTGGCACAGGTTAAATACAATGGTTTAGGGGGAAAAAAAAAAAAAAAAGATCAGTGCAACCTAACGAAAGTGATTTAATTTACAGTCATAAATCATAGTTTATATGTGAGTCTTATATCAGTACATAAACCTATTCACCAAATCACAGATGTTGGGAATTGATGTTGAGGGTGGGGAAGACTTCTGATTGTCAGCTCTTACTGCCCTAACTGATGTATTTAAAATGGTGTAAGATTTAGAGCCAACCTCTTGATCGCTCAGCTTGTACACCAGAGAATGAATGGTGACACCAGCCAGGCTGCATTGGGTTGCAATCTAGACAGGAGCCAAAAGCTGTAGAAAGAAGCTTACTTGTGACAGAGTAAGAAAAAGTGTCATTGCAAAGTGTCACCTACAAATGTGCTAGCCTGGAAATTTCTCCCTCAGGAGAAATTTCTTCCCTTAGGAAGTGGCTAAGCTACACCTGAGGAGATGAGCTTTAGTGATTTTCTTCACACCATTTTAAACCCTACTTATGAGATTATACTAGAAACCAAGCTTGAAAGTATGTAAGAGCTGATTTAAGTGAACTGGTACAGCACCTTGACTTTAGTTAAAGCAGGCAAAGGTACAAGGTTCTACCATGGCCACAAACAGTCAGTTTATTTCTATTCACCCATTTACATCATCGTTCCAGTAAAAGAATGCTATGTTATTCTCTCTATTGTCTATCAAAACTTTTCTGACCTCACTTTGAAAAAACCTTTTAGCACCAGGGTCCCCCAAAATATTTAGATACCATGATTCTCCTGAAACTCTAAAGATCATCAGTGGTTTCTTCCCCCAGATCCACATCTCAAATTCAGGCCACACAGCCAATCCCATATCTTCAAATCCCCCTGTGCACACTTACATGGCCTTCATAGCTCTTCTTCAGAGATCCTAAGTGATTAAGAAAATGCATTCCCAATCCACACCACTGCTCAGCTTCCTTGTATTTACCAACAGTATACTGAAATATTCCTGTATTCCAGGCTCTTGTCATCAGCCAAAGGATCTCCATCTCTGGGTAAGCATCCTGAAGTAGCAAACATGCAAGAGCACCTCATCAGAAAAACTGACAAGTTTTTCACTTCAAAACTGACAAGTCAAGAGTGTGTTAGAATTTAATTTTAGAGTAAGAAAACAGTGGGATTCTTTCCTCCTAAGCAAAGATAGAAAAAGCCCTTACAAAATCCAAGGAAATTTGTAATACAGTCCTAAATATCCAAAAGACCTTTCTTTTGAAGTAATTTCAGTGTATCTTTTACTGAAGAAGTCTTAGCAGCTCCACATATAACACTATGTAATGTTCATTTTACCAATTATTCTCAGTCTAATAAGAATTTTTTCAAACATGCTCAGGATCATCTCCCAGTCTCTTGGTTTCCTGATCAACTTACTGTGCTGCTGACTACACTCAGAGCATCTTCAAAGTAGTGCCACACCTCCTGCAGCACACAGGTATCCAAGTCTGTCAGTCCAGTTGGCAAAGAAATGTTAATCAAACTGTGTAAGCATTTGCTGAGGATTAGAATAGAGCAAGAGAGGAAACATTAATTGCCATGTGCACAAACAGTTAGTTCTTAGTATTAGGAGGACACTGAGTTATGTGTCTGTGATTGTCAGACATGTCTACCTTGGTGCTTACTACACTCCTATTCTTGTAGCAGAAGCATGCATTTTCATACTACCATATCTTATTCATACAATCTATAAAAAAATAATTAAGTACTAATTGCTCTTGACACTATTTTTATTGCTGGTCACTACAGTAACACAGAAAGAAAATCACAGTATTTCCTAGGGTGCTACACATGACAGCAAGAAAAAAGTACCTTTTCTAACTTCACCAACAAGAGCTACGTAGGCAGCATCCTCAGAAAATCAGTAACAAACAGAGGGTTCTGAAAACAGCTCTGTCTTTCTCAGTGTGGGGTGAGAAAGGCAGTATCAAGAGTTTCCTTTGCCATGTGCTTATTTCAAGGAACTTGGAAAGGATAAGTAACACACAGATATACCAAATAAATCACATATGTACTATGTGGCATCACTGCCTTACAGCTCACAGCTTTCCTCTCAACCCTTAATTTTTCTTGTCTTTGAAATACTCAGCAGAGTAACATTTTAAATTAACACCATCCTCACAAGAAATAACCAGAGACATCTTCTGGATCCAATTTTCATTTTCCTTCCTCAATAGATTAATTTATTAGAAACAGGACTGTGCCAGAAAATATGCCAAGTAAACAAACTGCAGCTAAAACATCTGTTAGGCAGTCATCCTTCAGAGTTACATTGGTTGGCCAGCAAGAAGTGGAACCTTGCATATAAAGGACAATCTACTTTTTTTCAAATTGCAGGCTTTATTCACTGTCAGCATTTCCAGTCACAGGCTCATGGCAAAGCTTTGTGATAACACTAACCTAAATTTCACAGCATCAATGACAGCCTGCTTTCTGTGGAGGTTCAGTGCACTCTTGAGAGCTTTCTTACACAGTACAGGATACCGAGCTGGAGATTCCATTGCCAGTGCTTCAAAGTAAAAGAAAACAGAGAAGAATAAAAGATAAATTACTGAAGTCAACTTCAATCTCTTAGGTCATTAAAATAAACTACAGCATGTAACCATATCCCTTGTGAAAAACAACTGAAAAGAAATAATCTGCTTAATGGGCTGGTCACAAGCTACAGCATCTCTCCCTCTTTCTTACTAAGCACATCACCAATGAGGACAACAAGGCAGAAACACAGAAAGTTTCATAATTCTCTGCTGTTTACCTCCAGTGCAGTAATTTAAAAAAAAAAAAAAAATCTGGTGGGGGGCACTGTCTAGAGAGTTTTGTTTGTCTCCTTGAACACAAAAATCCACACAGAAACCTTATGCAGGAGCAGGAATTGAGAATGGTGTCTCCAGGTGCTGGAGTGTTCTCCCTCAGGGCAAGGAGGACAGAAGGTGTTTATACAATCCAACAGGACACCCTCCAAAGATTTGCCATGGTAGTTCTAAATGCTCCTCATTTTTCTTGGATCCTGCTCTAAATTTTCAAGCATGTTTTCATGACTAGGACTTTGTGATGAAAGTATGGCACGGTGTAGAGAAGTGCTATTTACAAATTGACTATAAATCTTTAAGTTGAAACTCAACATTATCTTAATGGCTTAAATATACTTAAAGTATCTATCCAGAGTCCAAAGCCCAAAACTTCTGTACTGGGGCATGAATCAGTAAGGGTCATTCTCAGGCCTTTGCCAGTTTGGAGCATGTAAAAGTTCATCTGAAAACCCCTTCCAGGCTCACAAACTGTATGAGTGTCTCAGGGTCTAGAAATAGAAAGATATCACAACTTTCTGGTTCATCAACCATGTCATTTGTAATTTCAAAACACAGCTCTCCTAACATTGCTGAGATCCTAAGCATCTTTGCTTCAGGACAAAATATATATGATTAGACCCATTTTCTGTATGTTGTACAATATCCTGGTCACCTCAAAAGAACAGGAAAGAGGAATAAAAGCTATTTTTTCAGACTTGAAGATCTATAAAAGTTCTTACATGCAATGATTTCAAGTGTCTTGATCTCTATTTGTGGTTGCTCCCAAACTGACTCCATAAGATTGTGAAGTGTTGGATCATTAAGTTTGGATCTTGCTTCAAATTCATAAAGCAGCAACAATGTGTCTGTTGGGTCTTTAGCAAAATCTCCTATGAAAGAGACAGGATTGACTGCATGTAATGATGTATTTTCTCAAAGCCACACTGTGTAATATAAGGTAATTTTTGCTTCCAACAGGCAAGAAAGGCACTCGGACTTAACAGTACAGCAAGTGGAATTTGCCATTCAGTGAATATCTAGTGGATTTTTTCTACGAATATCCTACCACAAAAAGTAAACCATGCAGCTGCTAGGCTAACAGCCACTTAACACCTCAGCTTTTGTCATATTGTCATCTATCTACTCCAATAACTTCCATCTAAGACAACAATTCCACATGCTCCGTATTTTCCATTAATATTGTGACTAAGAGTTACATGTGCTGAAAACACACACTTTGTAGCTTACCTGTTAATTTCAGCACCTTCCATATCTCCTTGCATGTCTGAAGATGTTGAAGGGCCTGACTAAAAAGCTCCGTCTATTTTACAAAATTAAGTAAGTTATTTTTTCATTGTTTTAAAAGCAAAACAAATAATTATGTCAGAACTAGCTATAAAATAAATTAAGAACCAGCCTAGTTAGTAAATCACCTCTACCAGTTACTGGAGTTTTGAGGATTTTTTTCTCTTTTTCCAAGACCTCCACATCTCAGACAAAGCCACTTCTCACTGAACATTTCATTAGCCCAGAAAGAACTGTCCATGTTCCTATGGGACATAACTGTTTTAGCTCCCAAGCATAAAATGGTGCTATTGAGACTGACAAACCACTAAATACCACAACAGAATTGCTGTGCATTGCCCTCCACAGAATTGTCTACAATCACTTTATACCAGACTTCTATACTTCCTTCACGTCTGCATCTTCCTTTATCTTCTAACCACAGTAAGCACAATGCCCTCTTCCTCCCACCCACAAAAAGACGTATACATAAAAAAAAAAGTGAGTTTTATCACAACCACAGTGGCAACTACTTTCAGCAGCAGCAGTAATTGTCTTTCTGACTAACCCACAAATAGCAGCAGACTCTTACAATATATATATTGTAGATTGAAATTCCTCTCTACATAAGTTACTGCCATGACCCTTTATCGCTACAAACCCATTCAAAGACACTGAACTAATTTACAGAAATTCAACTGTTACAATTGTCTGGAAAGGTGCATCAATTCTAACTATGAAATATTCCCTTGCTTACATTCTCAATATCCCATTCTGAATGAAAAAACTAGGACTTCAAAATCAGAAGGAAAAAATGCTATACTGGTACACTCAGAAATAGTTAACAGGCTTTGCCCTACCTGTTCTGAAGGTGTTACTTGTTGTCTCCCCATTTCCAGATCAACTGCAGCTGCCATTAACAGGCATGTCTTCTGAGCAATTAGAACAGCTTTGTCAGAGGGACAAAACTGGGACAACTAACACCAAAAACAGGAAAAGGTAATGAGAATTTTACCCATAAAGAGCAATTTTCTTGGGAACAGATAATTGCTGACCCTCCTCTACGACACTTGCAGGAATCAGTCACGAGTACTACATATTCATATTGTAATTTTACTTGTACAATTTTACAAAAGGATTACTTAAATATAAAGTGTAAAGCAGAGTTGGAGTCCCCTCTCTACAACCACATACAAAGCTGACAGTGTTGGTAGAAGTCCACAAAGATTAGGACTCAAGTATTTAACATGTTTGTATTAATGATACAGTTTACAAACATCAGAATCCATTTATTTAGAAACTTCTCATTGAAATCTTAAGTTTATTACATTCCTAAGAAACAGAATGTAAAGTATGACAATAATGCACATTTGATATTACAAGTCAATCTCCTTGTGACAAAAATGCTCAGTTTTCAGAGCACACAAGCATGTCTCCACAGAGATACCCAAACCATGGATGTGACTTCTAGAAGAACTAGACAGATTAAAATATTCCCCAGTTAGAAACACAATTAGCAAGAGTAAATACCTTGAAAGACAGCACAAAAAAATCCCTCATCTTTTCAGGGCTGTCCTTGAACTGCACAGCTAAGTTCCAAGCTAACAAAGACATAAAAGTAGAGACTAGAATAAGAATCTGCACTGCTACATGTGTGCCCATCTAATCTCTAGCAATAAGCAGTTCAGGTCCTACAATTCTATTTCTGAACCAATATGTCATCAACAGCTCATTTAACAACAGCAAGAAATACTGTTACTAGTGATTTGTTTAAAATAGCTAATTCATGCTTTCAAATTTTGCCTTGATAATTTCACCACAACCAAGAACCAATTCTAGCACACACCCTGCCAACAAAAGTATGCACTGGGAAAAGCTTTTTCTTATATTAGTTAACAAAGCCAGCATATGAGGGGAAGTGTTGTACAGTATTCTCAAGACAAATAAAAAAGCAAAAGGAAAAAACCCCACAACATCTTGAACCATTCCTCATATTACCCCAGCAAGGTCAAGTATGTAGCAATTAAGCACACAATTCTGAATAAGAAATGAATGAGCATCTAAAGGCAATCAAATTATTTATGTATGAGAGCTTGACCAAATTAAATAATTAGATTCTACAGCAACTTTCACATTATTTTATTCTATAGGACATGTCTTTGTAGTCTCTGAATTTTTTATCTTGTGAGTGAGATGTTGCCTTCGAAAGGTCATGATTCCATTGATGCTCATGTCACTGTAACAAGCATCTGCTGCTTCTCCCCCTCCCTTGCTACTCTTTATTGGAGTACAGTTACACTGTGAGGATGTGTGCAAAAGCAGATGTCTTCTGATACTGATTGCAACTGTTTTCTCACCTGTGTGCTCTGACAGAAGCAAGAATCTGAAAAATGGTTCAACTTGTCACTGTATGTTTATATTTCTATTTATAGTCAGCAAATGTAATCCTTTACCAAAACTGTAACAGAGACTGCAAAATGAGTATCCAGAGACAGCACTATGCATAAAGATTAGGGCAGCCCCATGAGAGCTGCATTTCCCACTAGAAACCACTTTATCTGTGATATTTGTTGTTTGGATTTTACAGTCTGTAGTTCAAGGCAAACTCAAGGACCAATAAAGACAGGAGATTCAGTTTAGATTCTGAGAGCAACCTACCAACTTTTCTAAACCAGTGAGCTTCAAGGATCCTCATGTCCCCTGTAAATTTTTCTTCTGTGAAAGACTCAGCAAGTTTCTTGTGAGCTGCAGAAAACATAATTCAATACAAAAGTACCACTTTTGGTGCAGAATAAAAACATTTCCAAGTCTAATCCTTACACTACAAAACAGAGATTTCCAAAATGCCTGTGTAATTTCTGATGAAGACTTATTTTCACAACTTAAATCTAATATTCTTCAGAAAGTCCTATAGAACACAGCAAAAGGTGCCACAAAAAACATTTTAGAAAAGATGCCAACAAGTACTGATCTTCTAAGTTTACTGACACTGAAGTCCAATGCAGAGCAGTTTTACTTAATTTCACAAGGAGGGGACTTGTATTTAATTACCAGTTTGAGGCCTTTCTTCTAGGAACCTTTTATTGATTTAATTCTGCTCTTAAAGCTCTTCTACTTTCATCAGTACTGCAAGTTTTTGATAGCAAAACTTATGCCACTGAGATACAACTTCACAATAGTATTGACTCTCCAGCTTTAGTTGTCATTGATTTCACTAGGAAATTGAGAGCCTGGACTGAAATAAGGAATCTAAATATTTCATTGATATGGATCTAATCATATCATAAAATGTTCACATATGGAAGAACTCCAGAAAACACAAACAAAACAAAAACATACCCAAGTTCAAGTAAGTCAGTATTGAGTTGATATCTCCATCTCTAGAATGGAGAAAAAAATCAATTTTAGGAAATAGATTCATTTTTTTTGCAACAGAAGAAAACCAGAACATATTATTTATGTTGGAATATACTTTTCCAATTATGGATAGATCCACTCATCTCTCCTAACTTTGGAAAGATATCTCACTATTGTCAAAGTTACAGAGATTGCTTAGCTCACAATCTCCATTAAAAATACCTGACAGGCATATACATTAATTAAAGAAGAAAGTAAAGAGCAAATTTTAAAAGAAAAGTTTAGACGAGTTGAAAATAGGTTCCTATGTGATGTCATTAGGTCAAGTTAGGAAGTCATCTGGGTGGACTTTTACCAACATAAAAAATAGTATCTTGATTACTCTGCAAGAAAAAATGCCCAGAAAGAAAACATTACACAATTTGAACATATCCACCATAAGAAAATGGTTTTTGAAACAGACCCACCTTTTCTCTGCATTTTCTGCCATGACTTTTGATAAGATCAGACGGACCAAACATCTAAATTGAGAAAAACAACCAATGAAGAAACAAGATGTTTTTTTCAATGGTGTACTTTGCCCTAATTCTCCTGAAAGGATCCCACTTTTCTTCCTTATGCTTCTCCTTGTAGGTATATTGAATTCTTACTTTAAGGATGCAAATAATTGTTGGCAGTCTTGTAAATGTTCAGACAAATACTCCAAAGCTTTGATAGCCACAATTTGTTGGTCATTCTGAAAAGAATTAAAACACGTTTTGTATATGCTGCACTACCTCAGTTACCACAAAAAATACCCAAACCAAGACAACAGCAAAAACAAACCCCAAAGCAACCACATATTCCAAGTCTGTGTAGCCCTGTAGCAGGAAAATGAACAAAGGACTATGCACAGAATTGCCTGAGAGTGCAGAGAAAGCTCTAAGGAGAGATCATATGATTCCCTGCACAATGAGTCTGTGGCAAGAGCAGGACTAGAACAGGTTGGTAAGGCTTTCACGCCTCACAGGACTGGGAACAAGGCCCTGATAGCCTGAAATGCAATCAGCCAGTTCAGCGAGCACTCAGGCCACCAACCAAGAGGCAAACAGGAGAGACAAAGAACTTTCATCATAGATTTATGTGTGTTTTTACAGTTTCCCCCTCCCTCATCAAAGATCAAATCCCAGAGGCAGAAGAAGATGCTACATTTTGTTAAAGAGAATTTTACAGACATACACAATATAATATCCAGATGCCAACATTTTTAACTCAGAATTCTTTCTTTTTATGTCAAAATTTTACATGAAAATAATTTCTACCTTGCATTACACAACACATTTGAGTGAGACCTTTGTTGTGGAAGCATGAAATACTAAGAAATCCATTAAATACAGGGAAATATTAAATTTAGGCCAGGCTGAAGAGCTTATACTTATATCCTATTATATCAATAAAGCAAAGACAACATTATCTGCTCTACCTCTAAAGCAATTTGGGCAGCTAAACTCAAGAGGTTGCTGCCTGTATTTTTATCCACTCTCAGCTTGTCTTCATGTTGTGACAGCTTTTCTGCTAGCTTCCCCATTTCTATAACTGCCTCCATAGCTGAAAGAGACAGAGGGAAAAACCAACATTTTTATAGAAGCCATTGGAAGGTAGAAAGTTCTACTGTTTTAATGGTTTATAAAAGGCTATTTTTTTTTTTTTTTAATGAAAACCCAAGACAAGAAAACCTGAGCATACCAGCACTTCTCCACAAATCGGCATTTCCCCCTAGGGAGGCACCAAAAAGTTTTCAAGTTACTAATCTAAGGAAACAAAGATGCCATACAAATTATACTCATCTTACATTCTTAATTTTGTTCAGCTAAGTAACTGTTTGTTACCAAAGACAGAAGACTTTCTCTAATACATTGTCTGGGCATCATTCCAAACTCCCACATCTTGGCTTATGCTAAGGGCACCACTGCTTTTATGTTCACACTGTGCTGTGTTTCCCACTCTATATTATGTGAACAAATTATGCTGTCAATAAAAGTTGTATAGAAAATAATTAAATGGCAGAGAACTCATTGGAAAATAAGCTCTGCACATTACTCTGTATTCTAACTATAGACTGTATTTCTCCATTTTCATTACTTGAGCTAAGATCCTCATTAAAATATGAAACATTAGAACTCATTATAAAGGAGAAAGAGGCTACAGAGATACAACATTCTGTAAGTCATCTCAATAATTCATGTATTTCTTGGTAACTTCAGGCTCCATCTGTCCAGAGAAGTTAAGAGCAGCAATAATGGTTCCCTTAAGTTTCATATTGTATATGCACACTAAAAAGTACAGAATGATTCTCACCCTGGGATAATACTACTGCTTCTGCCCATGGGAGGATTATCTTCTCTAGACAGAGGCTCCATCCAAACAAAAACAAATATAGCAATGGACTCTGCCTCTTACGTATTGTGTGCTAAAAAAAAAGATCCCACTTTTACAACTTAAATCTACAACCTGACATTTTCAATGACTTTAGGAACTCTTCTTCTATCTACCCTCTATTGTGTCTTTCTCAAGATGAACAGCCCAAAGCTGCTTAGTATTTTTTAATATATTTGGCATTTCTCCTTGTAGTGGACCCTTTAACTTTCAGGTTGTACCTTTTTCAGTATTGTTCTCCAACATTGCAATCTTATAGACACTGAATTTAGTAAAGATGCTGTTTGGATCACACCTTTCTGCTTGTTTAACTGCCTCTTTAGCCTATTCACAGAAGAGATTAAAGGAAATCAGTACAACATTACCTTGAAATTAGTATATAATTTACAATAGAAAAGAAATAAAAAGATACACAAAATGTTAATGGCTACATTGATGACATCTATGGAATAACTCAAGATGTTTGACAGGGCAACATCTGCCCTTGAAATAAAAGTGATGAGACCAGAAAACAGCACCAAGGGCTGACCAGAAATTAAAGAGCCAGCATTCCTCAAAAATAAAAGCAATGCAAATAAAGATATAAGTATGTCTACATATGTATTAAATACACCTTGTCAACTTGTTTCAGATGAAGATAGCAAGAAGCCATGTTCCTCTGCAGCTTAGCCAAGTTCTGATCTATTTGCCCAGGTGTATAGAAGCTGACAGAATAATTGTACCAGTGAAGGGCTTCAGAATAGCTTTTCTCCTAGAAAATATAAAAACAAAATAAAACCAAACCCAAAACCACATTGCCATATTAGGGTGATAAAACTGCCTATGTCTTTCTAATTTTTTTAAAAAGGTCACAGCAATGAAAGATTTAGATAGTCAAGTACATTCTAGTGCATCGTCCAGGTTGTCCCAGGTGCAGAACCCACCACTTTCCCATGTTAGACTTCATACAGTTGGTGAAAGCCCAGCCCTTTAATTTGCCTAGACACTGTGAGAGACAGTATGCAAAGCTTTACTGAAATCCAAAGGGATGACATCAACTGGCTTCAGCTGATCAACAAGGTGAATGACCTTGTCCTAAAAGGAAATCAAGCTTGACCAGCAGGACTTCCGCCTGCTAGTGCTGGCTGTGACCAATGACTGCATTGTCCTTCAGGTGCTTTGCAGTAACTCCATGATTTTTTACCAGGCACTGAAGTGAGACTGACAGGCCTGTAGTTTCCAGGGTTGTCCTTCTTGCCCTTCTTGAAAACTGAGATAACTTGGCAGCTTTCAGCCAACTGGGACCTCTCCAAGTTCCCAAGACCATTCAAAAATCATTGAGAAGCCCCACAATGACACCAGCCAGTTCTTTGACTACTCTTGGATGAATCCCTTCAGGCTCCATAGCCATATAGGAACCAGTTGGAGCAGGAAGTCTCACATTAACTGTTCCCATGCACAAACCTTAAGATGAGGCTACCTGAAACTTGATTTTATAATTGAAAACAGCACCCAGATGGATGAAAATAAAACTACTGCCAGCTGGAACAAGGCTCTTAGTAACAGTTTACACTCTAACCAAAAATAGACATATCAAAGAGGTCAGAAAAATAATTTCATTTCACTGATATAAATAAGAACACTACTATTTGGTCCCAAACCTCATAATGTTTGGCAGCTCTGTCCCACAAGATGATGTGCAGCTGATTCAAGGCTTCAGGCAACAGCTGTTTCCCAGTATAATGACCTGAAAAGATACTGCAAATCATCACTTTACAAGAACTTTACAAAGCACACTGAGAAGGATCTAAGAACTATTCTACAACCTGCAACAAAAAACAGGGACACAGCAATAGTCTCAGCTAGGAGCCAGTGTTCCATCCCCTGTTCATGAAAAAAAAATAAACCCCAAACCAACAAATCCACCAAGCAAAACCCAAAAAAACCCTGTGGGCAAGAGAAAAATATTTTAATGCTTGAAGAATGTAAATGTAGCTCTTCTCCTAGCTAGATGCAACACAAAATAGGATTTGTTTTACAGCAAATCTGACAGTCAAAAAGTACTACAGTGCTACAGGTGCAACAGACCTGAGAAATAAACTATTATCCAGCTCCAACAAGGACATGCAACCTGCCTTACACTGACAAACAAAAATAAATTGGGCTGGATGGACAAAGTATTAATATTAAATAGAACTCCTGGTTACTGTTTCTAATTGCACATGTATCATTCACACATGGTCTACACTAAGAAGGAGGAATTGCTCCAGCAAATGAATTTAAGCCTAAACTTGATCATGACTGTCTTTCAATATGGAAGTTGAGAGTTGCCAAGTAAAAGAAACATAACGGAAAACAGACACAGAGAAAGAAAAATTAGAACAAGCAAAAAAAAAAGTGAAAATTAGAATGCAAGACTTTAGCCAACTACATCCAGCTTTCAGAAAAAAGCAGTAAAAGATGGATACCAACCTACAATAACTTCTTCAATCTTTTGCTTCGCGAGCAGCTCCCTCTTATTCTGCAACAGGAACTCGATGTGGAACAGGGTAATTTTTCCAAGGTCAGGTGAAGATTCAAATCGCTCAGGAACAGATTTCAGAAAATCAAACCCAAGTGATTCCCTATTCACAGAGATGCATTTTTAAGAGGCTACACCAGAAGAGCTGTTAATTTTCCATTCTAGAGATTAACATATTCACACCATACAGCATGTTTGTCATTCAATCACATCAACAGAATGAATCAAGGTATGAATTTGTTACAGTTCATCTATTCAATGGCAGCTTCCTCTTATCACATGCTTCTTCCACTGTACTCACAAGAGTTTATTCTTCTCATTTGCATCAAGATACAAGCATATACATACATAATCATGATGGAGCACTTAACAGGGTAAAAATCTGTGCCTCAATTTATTTTGCAGTAACTGTTATCCTTCTAGTGTTTTTCCCAAAGATGGTTCTAGGATGCAAAGTCATTCTGATGGTTGGTTAGAAAAAAAAGTCAGTCTGATGATTTCAGACATATAATAAAACTACATAATGAATCTTAATCATTCCAAGGTAAGTCTACAGCACTGCAAATTGCCACTACACTTATTTCATACCCTGTTCTGTTGCTGCCATAATCAGTATATCCTTGCTATAGAAGACAGGCTCCTTCTCAAAACCTTTCATCTTACCTCCATGAGCTTTGATTTGAAATAAAGCGTCATTGTATAATAGATGTTCTTTGGTTATAAACATCCAAAACCTCCAAACATTGCGTTTAGCCCACTTAGAGATTCTTTCATACCTTCCATGCTCCAGCAGCAGTTTGGCTGTATTCAAACAGAAGTCTAAAGACATCTCAAGGTGTGTGAATTCTGCAACAGCTAGACAGAACACAAAGCACTTGAGATTATGTAATCGACTTAGACACCTAATTGCTCAATTTACCACTTATCTCTTACACCTTCTTTGAAAGACAGAAACAGAACTGAAAAAAAAACCAGCAACCCCACAACAGATCTACAACAAACTGAAGAATAATACCTATTGTGCTTTGACTTTCCTTTCACTGTACAGTTAATGCAAACTATAGAAAAGTGACAGACTGATAGCCCTGGAATTCCAGTCCTTTGTCTCTTTAAACAGGAACAGCATAAACTTTAGTAGAATTTTTTTTTTTTTTTTGCCTCAAGCTGCCTTTTATCAAAATGTCTCATCCTTATCCAGCAGGAACAACCTAACACTGAGGTTAGTGATCAGGCTGTGTGTGGTAGCATATTGCAATGGGAACTACTTCAGCATAATGCCCTGAGATCAGCTGTTGGATTGACTGGCACTGATAAGCAGGTATCAGTTTTACACCACTCAACTCAGATAAAGTTTTGAAACTGTTACTCTGTGCTGAATGGTTAACAACAAAATAGATACATTCGTAGCTTAGATGAGATCCGAGAAGGAATACTCAAGGACATGACCAGAACAGTTGTTAAAATAAGCATTTGAAGGCAGCTGATGCAAATGTGCAACACAAGATTTTAGTGAAATGCCAAAAATTTAGCAGGAATCTTCACTCAAAAGACAGCACACACATTTCTGCCAGCCATACAAGAAAAGAGACAGCCACTCATTAATAAACTTGCTTGAAAAACTGACTGGAGGCTTAGTACCTCTAAACAATAGCCAAGTATGTTCTGATAGGCAACTCTATGGCTTCACAATTCAAACTGAAGAACACAAGTCAGCTGCTGTATGTTTATTTGAAAGTGTAAGGTTTAAATGACTGGCTACTTGAAATCTGGCTGAAAGCCCCAAGGAGGAATGTGGAGTTACCATTTCTGCTAGACTGGCAGCATTCAAACCCCTCAGCTCTCTGCAAGGAATTCCTCATCACATCCTACATTTCTCAGATTATTCATTACATATCTGATAATTTCCAACCTTGAAACATACAAAGCCTCTTTTCCTTAAGATTTCATTATTTATGAAAATTAATTTCTCTGACACATTAATTATCCTTTCTATATTAAAGTCTCCCCAAAAACCTTCTTATCCTTTCATTTCATATCAGAATCAGTTCTGTTCAAGTGATAAATGTGAGGAATAAGGAGAAAAGTGTTTATTTGACTTAAATAAACTCTTGTAATACAGGTTTATAACAACACACTGATGAGCACATGATGTGTCTTGGAAAAATCTGCAAAATCCCACCCAGAGAACAGCAATGCTTCACCATCCATTCTTTTGTGCTTCTGCATAAACTTATGCATAAGTCTAAACAAACTGTAGCTTTACATTGCTATATTTTCACTCTCTTCATTCTAACAGCCTTCAGAGTGTTCTCCCTTCCCTATTTGCAGCAAGACTATTTAAATTATCATCTGGATACCTCCTCTGTGAACACTGAGGACTATGTCTCAGTTCAAAACCAAAAGGATATTTAGCTAATTCAGATTCTGCCAAAAACAAAAAATTGGTTTTCTGTGTATGACACATGCAGTCTCCTTGGATATGGAGTAATATAAAACCTAGGGAGAGCTGTAATACCTGAGCTGATATCTTCATCTGATGCTCCACTTTTAAGAAGAATTTTAACTTTCAAAAAAAACCCTGCTGGATGCAAATTCTCCTGCACAATGGAAAATAACACATTATTTGGACAGCTCTTTGTAGAACAGAGATCCTGTGAGAGCACAGCACATTCATAATACAAATAAATATTAAGGAATCACATACTCTCCACTGAAATCTTCAGTACCATTTTAATGACTGAGGCAAATGGTAGGCAACTTATGCAGTAAATTTCTTCCTAAATGCAATGTGCATCTTTATTATTTATTCTTACGCTGTCAAAAGACCAAGGATAACAAAAGCAAAAGATGTAAAATTCTCAGTTTTCTGTGGCCCATTTTTGATACTTTTAAATAGAAGCTAAACATTACTGAATGATAGAAACATTTCTTGCTTTTCTATGTGTGAATAAACTGGATTAATCTAGAATTAATATGAGCAGATTCAAAGTAGCTTATTGAAAGAAGAAATTCAGGGGTCAACAACAGTGGGAGCAAGTGGAAATAATGAGGACTGTAAACTAAAGCTCTCACTAAAACAGTGCATATTTCAGGTTCTAGAATCAACTTTTTTTCTGGTTTTTGTAAAGGATTAAGAGACCTCACTGTAATAGCTGCTTAGAGATATATGAACTCCTTCAAGGTAGCTGGTATGTTTATACACCTCATTTTTCAGGTCTGCTTGCATGCCTGTGTCTGGGTGTTGCTTTGGGATCCCCCAGATAATGAGGCAACGGAAATAATTTTACTCTTTGTGCTTTAGCTGTGGGTTTGTGGTTCTCCCAGCCGCCTGCTTGTATCAGCTCACACATCTGAGAAATTTTAGTCACACCATCATCAAAGGACTTTACTACTAACACAGAGGAGGCAGGAGGACAGCTCTACTTCTACATGCAAAAAAGTATTTCTCTACAAAAAACAACTGGAAACACCAAAATATCCATAGGAGCATGGAAACATAAAGTAAACACACCTCAATCTGTTGTCAAGGATAACACACCAGTGACTAATGTGGTCCATATTATCATGTCAATAAATGCTTGAGTTTTCATCTATTGCAATCTTTAAATAGAGCAAAAATTACTACCTGGTTTGCCAAGCTTATGGCTTTCAAAGCCTTGTCCAGGTACAGACTGCAATCCCACTCAAAGTAGGTCGTGGCTAACAGTCGCAGCACTTTAGCCTGGAAATGAAAAAATAGCCACATATGAACATACATATGAATACAAAAGACTTAAATTCTAAGGTCATGAAAAATAAAAGCTCTCTGAGGCAAAAAAATCCTTGCCTGGTATCAGATATACAAAGTGATTTCTCACATCTGAAACATATCCAGTCTTGAAGCAATGCAGTACACACAGGAAACGAATCAACTAGAATTCAGAGAAAAACAGAAGGGTTGCAAGGAAAATCAGATAACTGGGGGAAAAAAAGAATGAAAGAAGAAATTGGAATAACAGGAGGTACATGCTTCACAGAACAAAACAAACAAAAAAGTAGGACAAAGACCTACATGATGATGGACTTCAAATATATAAATTATTTACATAAAGAGAAAGAAATTAAAATCTTCATATTCACAGGTGGAAGTAAAAAAATAAACTGACTTCTGAATGTGACAGAGAAACATCTATCACAAATGACACAGCTCAATTGACAATGTATTGAAAGAGAAGATGAATGGAAGAAGAGATGGCCTTTCAGGATCTACTTCAGCCTTACTTTCTATACTTTGATTTCTGTGAAATAGTAGAATCAAGAGTGATTTAATGGCGCTCATCAGTGACTGCTGCTCATAACTGTACTTGAAACTCTGCCAAACTTCATAGAGAATTGCTAAGAAGGAGACCAAGACATTGCTGGGCAGTTTGGCACAAAAAAGGCAGATAATACACTGGAGTAAGTTTAACAAAACTCTCCTATTTGTAAATAGAAATTTCTCTATTTCTTACCTGCATTTCTTTGCCAACAGAATATTTCATGTCCATCTTCCCAATGTCATAACTCTGGCTATCAATGACAAATGATAGTTAAAATTAAACAGGATGACAGAGATAATTTCAGTCTTCTGATATGTGCAAAATTCCTATCCTTTCCCACTTCCTAAGCAGTTAAAAACTACAAAAATCACACAAACTAATCTCAGTAGTCACTTTTACTAGAGAACAGAAAATTGTGGGTTCTTTCTAGCCTTACATTAAAAACTGTACTCAGTCACTGTGGGAACCCCAGGCTTGTTCTGGGGTCCCATGTGGTGGTGAAATTTCTCTTTCAACCTGTGCTTCTAAAGAAAAACTGCACAGGCTCTTGCTGTTTGGTTTTAAGGCAGTTTATTGTAAGTTATCTAAAAGATTGTCTTCTCGGGCTGCGGCTGCTTGGTCAGCAGCCCGGGCAGAGGCACATATACACTTTGACATCCTCTCTGTCTGCTGTTTTCTTCTTTTCTCTCCCCGCCCAGGGCTGCTGTTATTTTTTATATTATATATTACGTATTACATGTTTATAATTTTCTCTCAATATCTACTACTTATATTACAAAGTGCTTTTTTACTCTAAACTAATCTGTGAGTGCTAACATCACTAAGAACATGGAGGCAAGGAAGAAGGAGGAAGAACAGGATCAGCCCACTTTCCTCCATCTTAGAACTTCTGACCCCTACGTATAAAGTAAAACCCCCCCTGTACAATACTAAAAAAATTTCCCCTCTGTTTTGTAACTACTTTTACTATACTATCTAACCCTTTGTGACTGTTTGTTCTACCTCCAAAGTTGGTAACTCATTCCATGGCTCAAACTCAAAATCACAGCTGTTTCCAGCTGCCTGTCAGTGTCTAGAATGCTTCTGACCAAGGCCTGGAACCTCTAAAAATGTCTGAGAGACATTTTGAGTTCCAACAAAGCACTTTCTTCAACCCGTTGCAGCACATTCTGTAACATCTTCTATTCAAACATTTCAGTAGGTTTTATCAATTTTAACCACTGAGATTTTGAAGAACCAAGTGTTTCCATTCTCACCTTACATATAATATGGCAATATATAAAATCTATACATGACTTGTCTCCAGACCACAGCTCATCAACAGCAAAGACAGAACCTGTAACTCGTGCTTCCCCACATTTTTCTTCTAAAAGTTAAATGGCAGAACAAAGAACCACCCAGGAGAAAACACAGTGATAATTCCATAAAACCAGATTTGATTATAAATGCTGTGAATGAAAAACTGTTAGAAAGAAAAACAGTAACTGGGCGCTTGTTTTCTAATATAAGATATTCTCAGACCAGGGAAATATTAAACCACTAGATGGAGCCACAATCTTTCTACAGATTATTATTTGCAATGTGCAAAGCTTTATTTCCTTCTCAAATTTTGCCATCAGGACTTGGTATTTAATTGTCCACAAGAATAAAATATAAAATAATCTCCAAAGCACCAGCTGTAAATAAGTCTGAGAATTTCTACAAATCCTCTTTGACAACATATACAACCATAATGATTTTGAATTTGATCTGTTGCCCTCCATTTTCTTCTAACTATTTAAAAGAAGAAGACATAAACACAAATTTTCTGCAGGGAGCCTGTGACCATGGCATAAGGATGCTCTTCCTGATAGCCTCACCCTTAGTAATACCACAATAGTTATTTGGATCCCACAATAATTATTTGGATCCTACCCAAACCACCTCTACCTCTTCCTTTTCAACCTTGATGTTTGTGTCTTTCATCAGTCAAGGACTCTTCAGAAAACTAATCCCTTTGGAAGAAATGCTAGGGAGAGAATTGGCAAGAACCACTGGAAATTGATTTTAATTCTAATGACATGAAAATCCATGTGGGAAAACAGACATAGATTTTAGGCAATAGTGTACAACCACGACAAAGTATCTGCTCATATAATTCGGTTCAGCTAAAATCTTGTATTCTCTCATATTTAATGAGGCCTCTACCTTCCCTTGCTCCCCCCTCTCCTTCACACACAACGTTTTTACATCTCAGAAGTAGGGGTTTGTTTATTTGACTTTTGCACATTACCTGAGCCAGAAGGAGCTCTGTTCATACTTCTTCCATTCATAGGTTTCCACTCCAAAATTGTAACAGAGGATTGACAGGTAACAGGTCTGGAATAAAAGACTCCTGTTTCTATAATGTTCTTGTAAAACATCATTACATCTATGGCACTCCGGTCTCAGGTTCTTCAAAGTTAATTTTACTTTCAAAATATCACCACTGTTACTACTTCTGGCCTTTTGCAAGGGGATGCTGAAGATGACTAAATGGAATCATTAATTGGGTGGGAAAGTGAAAAGGCAGGATTTTTTAAACACACAAGGAACACAGAGTTCTTCAATAAATCACATTGAAAGCACTAGAACTGTGTAAATTAAACAATAAAAATTAAAATTTGAGAGGAACAACTGTAATACTATATTATCTTTTTTTTTTTTAATAACAAAAAAGGTTTTACATAATTAAGTGACAAGGACTTTACATGTTTCATGGTAGGCTTCTTCCCAGCATTTCTCTTTAGGGTTAAAAAAGGATGACAAGTTTTAGAAGAAAACCACTTTTGAATGCTTGGTTATTCAGAGCTTTATCAGTCACCCTGACAACATCTGTTCATAACAACTTGCCTTTTCTTTGAAATTATTTGCAGCTGTCATATGTCATCCAAAGAAGAGACAAAAAGTCATTTTATATGCTAGCAGGCTGCCAATATTTACATCCATCTTGCCTCTGCAGTATCTTTTTTTTTCCCAAACATAAATGATGCTTTTTGCAAAGGACTGCAGATTTCAAATTCTCAGACAAAAATGAGAAGGGTAGGACAACATCTTGCTTCAATTGTTTTTTTGGGTTTGTTTTTTTTTTTTTTTTCTGCAATCCAGAGGCAAAAGCACAGAGTATGTATATGCACAAACACAAAAGAGATCATTCTTAGATGTGAAATCTTATTTTTCACAGGTTCATTTGTGAATGTTTTCTTTCCAGGAGAGAAAGTTTCCTGTAGTGCGCATTGGTTCATAGACTATTGAGGATCACAATCCTCTCCAACTATCTCTGGTACTACACAACACAATAATCTCCCTGTGATACTCTCCAGGGACTCTCTGGTACAATGGGAGCATGAAAGAGTTTAGGATTGAGAGTTACCCAGCAGTCCAAAAGATTTAGATTCACTCAGAAATCACTAGCTCTTTCAATTTTCCTCATTTTTTAAATACCACTTTTTAAATCAGAAGTAAATTGTATCACTCTCTCATGATCAGAAACCTTTACTTTGTCTGCATCAGTGCTCCTGGTTTGTGAAGAGTTTTTATCACAAGTTTAGTATTATTAAATGAATGAGTTCAAGCAGAAAAAATGAAATTAATTTAGAATTAAATGAGGAACAGAAGTGCAAAGATCCCAGTGAACATTTTCAACAGTAAGAAGTTCTGCTCTTATGATTCAAATCAAAGCTAGACCCCTGCAACTTAGTCACTCAGATGCACTTGAACATGGCCTGCAGATGACAAAAAGCAATGTAAAATCAGTTGGAGTTTAATTGGTAAAAAACACAAACTCCAAACATATTTCCCATATTTTTCTTTAAGAATTTGCATCTGCCCCTTTGAATTTTATTATCTGTACCAGAGAGACAGGAACAAATTGTTTCTTAAATACTGGGAAAACACATAAACAAATGAAAATAAATGTCAGGAAGTTTATTCTGATATAACTATAATAGACTTTTATCTTTGCAAACAAAAAACTAATCTGCATATGGTAGTTTGTTTTCTCTGTGAGACAGGAACTACAAAAACCACAATTTAGTGCAATGGGAAGCCTCCATTCATAGCTCTACAGTTTCATGAAGATGAAGATTAGTACTGATGGTACTGATAGTCTTGCACATCAATAACTTTGTCATTCAGCTCTTCTCTTGTCCCATCTGTCCCCAGACAAATGTTCACATGGGTACAAGATGCAATATACAGGATCAAGATGTAAAATGCAGCTGGTTCTGCAGAGAGTAGGTAGTATATTCAATTTAGAAATCTTTCTGCCTTGCTTGCTGATTTGTCTTCTCATTGTTTAGGAAAGAGTTTATTATTCTATTTCAAATTTTAATCTAAGAGAAGCAATAAAAAAATGCACTCTGAAAAAAACTCTGCTGTTTCCACACAAAATTTTTAGCAACAAAATCTCAAAGAGGCAACCAATTGCAGAAGAGATCTTCAGTTCAGAGTACTTTTTCAGAATTTTATAAGGCATATGTCATCCTTTAACATATAGAGAGGGAAGTAGGTTCTCAAAGTTTGAAATTATAAAGAAGGGAAGATTTCACTTACTTCTTTTGGCAATTTCATCAACATATCTTTGCAGCGCTGCACGCACATCACCGCTCTCTGAAAGTCCCCTTGAGCAACTGCCTGAGAAAGCAGCAGAGCATGCCAACAAACTGTTAGTGTGCAACTGGTCTTTAAAATTCACTAAAAACCTCATTCTTTAAAATAGGACTTGGGTTTTCCACATGCAGTAAAGCTAGGTTTGGGATTAGGTATCTGTCCTTACAGTGCTATAATAATTCTGTCTATTTTTCCATATTTCCAGATGATAAAGAGATCCAGAAAATCACTGCAGTCCTCAGGTAGTGTGCAAAGGCCAGAGACATGGGACAAGATCATTCACATGTTAAGATGATATAAGAACTCAGCAAAATTTATATCTCTTCTCTTTTATGATTCCATGATCAAATTAAAAATATGGGTCAATGCCTTGTCCTGTTTAGGGTAGCTCCTGAGAATTTTGGAGATAGCACTTCCCTTCTAGATAACGAGGTCAGTGGTATGACCAACAAACGCAGGAAACTACATTCTTTGTATTTGCACTCCTGGTCTGTAATACTCTGTAGGACTGAGAGTATTCTCAGACACTTCAGAAGGAAAAACAATTCCCCTCAAAACTTACAATTCCTAAATTATATACTTTAAATTACAGTTATTTGCCTTGTTCTCCAGTCAAGCACAGGACACTGTTGGAACTGACCCATTTATGACTCATACAGGCACTTGTTTATTTTATAAACAGCCATGATAGCCAAATCATAAAGCAACAAATCTGAACTAGAAGATATAAACACAACTGCAAGAATAACTGTGATAAATGTGGAAAATTAAAAATCATTAAATGATTTTGCAATACTGAATGCAAACATGAAATCTGCTATCTTATATCTAAGTGCAGGAAATCTATCCCTCAGCAAGTCCTCAATGCCAAGCATTCAGGCATCTAATAACCGATTCAGATTTCCCTCTATACCTCTAGTGACTTATAAGGAAAACTGAGAACACATACTGATTCAGCTTGGTAAGAGAGTACTTTGAAAATGTTTTTCTCCACATCAGCTTGCACTTGAATATCTGCTTCACCATCACTCCCTTTCCGTAACTTCGCATACAGCTTTTCTATACTCTGGAAAACAAAATGCAGACATCACCCATGGAACTTACAAATATGGGTCTATGTAAGAAATCAAAACTGGGAAAGAACTTACACTCATGGCATTTTCTAGAAATCCATCTGCAAGACCAGCTTTTCCAATATCTATCCATCCTTTCCCAGTTTTCATAGACATCTGAAGGATGAAATGGTAAGTCTTTTGTGAAAAAGCAGTCACTTTCAAGAAAGGCAATGTAAGATTTCATCTCGTTGTCACACATACAGGACAGGTATTTCATCTCTGCAATTTCTGACCAGCAACTCTCACTTCTGAATGAACACTCAGATACAGCATAAGCCTTACAGTGGCCTGCTAGACAATATTATAAGATACTGAAATAAGTTTATTTCCTGCTAATATCATATTTTTCACTATGAGAAGATGTGATGCTAACCACACTGTCCAGACATTCCTAGCTCCAATGGCTCAGCAAGAGCCATTATAGTGGGACCTATATCTTACCCTGTAAGATACAGATAAGATATAGGTCCCACTTCAGCATGTACTTTGTTTTCTTAAAAGGGAAAAAATGGGATCATCTTTCCTTAAGTGATGAGAAGAGAGTCAGCAATATTCCTGCCAAAACACCAACTATCTTTCCAGATCTAGATGTATATTCCACTCCCATTCCAAAGCAAAGGTAATAAGATTTGAAGACTTCCCTGGGGGATCAACTATATTTCATTACTCACCCATAATTAGTCTTACCAAAATCTGTCTTCTAATAGTTCCCTCCGGAGGATCACTGCCTTCACAAAGGCAAATCAGTCTGCAGGCAACAAACCGCACTGCAAGGAAACAGTGCAGGCATTCAAAAGTTGCCTTTTCTCTATTTCTTCATTTTTTTTTTACAGAAAGTCAAGCCCTGCCATATCTGAAAGACTATCTGGCATTTTAAATCACAAGACAGAAAAATCTGAAACTTCAAGAGTCAAAGCAATCTGAATTTTAGCCAAGATGTTTAAAATTGCTTTCCAGACAGTAAGAAAAAAAAAATATTCTTATTAAAATACCTACTAAATAATTTGGAGAGAGTTTAAGTTAAATACATGGTATTCAAATATTTAATTACACTGCAGGTGCTTACAGTAACAATTCTTGAAAGCCTCAAAATAGCCTTCAGCAAAATAAGGAAATTAAGTTTAATAATCTTTACAGTTTCAAAGTAAAAAGCAAAAATATTTTCAGGCCTTCCTTAGACATCAGGGATGGAAAAGACACTATTTAATGTACTTTAAACAGCCTCTCCGTGGCCCTTCAGCAATGATCTGAGAACATCGTGCTCTACTTTGTGTCAACTTACCCTTTTCCCTTTACCTGGTATAATTCATATGATGCAGATTATACATCATTTTGACTATAATCCCTCAGGACAAGAATGTAGGCTTGACACTGCAATCCCACAAAACCACAGAAAGAACACACTAAGGCAAAATCCCAAAAGCTCATTTCTGCTTTCCCCCAGCCCTGCCCCTGGCCCAAGAGAACCTACCAGCTGTGCACCTGGCTAAAGCAGGTCAATAAAAAGAGGACTTAGAATGTTTCTGTATGTAAACGTGGATGAGATTGTTTTTTTAATGTAACTATCTCACTTGATATAAATTAAGTGACCAACGGTCTAAAATTTATCTGTGTTATTTCCATACATTTTTAGATTTGAACCACAGTCTCAGAAGGCAAATTACAGCTTCCTTTGGTCTCATCACCTCCTTACTGGTGCTCTGGCATGGAAAGGAGAGTGATAAAAATGCCTACACTGATTCTGTGTCACAAGAAGATAAGTATTGCATTAGGATGCTTCTTCTTGAACTGTTTATACAAGCCCACCAGTACATTTTTGTCTTTCTAGACCATGTCTACAAAGGCTCAAACAAATCTACAGCACTACTTATGTGCCTGGCAGCAGAGAGTGTTTAGTTTCCATGCTACAGCACATAGAACACCTTTAGGAAGGTACAGAACATACATACGTTTGGCTCTTTGCTCATCACTGATAACAGCAGCTGTGTGTTTGGTCACAGTCCAGTTCCACAAGCTGACTGCACTCTCTTCAACCTGAAGGGGAGAATTCCACTCAATTAAATTTTGTCCCGGATATGGATCCAATTGAAATTTACTACTGAAAAATAAGCATCTTTCATGTGTTTCACAGGAATGGCCTCTCCAAGTGTTTGTCAACTTCTGTTTACACCAGAGTGAAAGGTGTGAGCTTTCCATAAAACTGTCACAGGATCCCACAGGACATGCTGGACAGTGACCTGAAAACAGGCATGCTGAATGGATGCAGCATTTCTTCACCTAAAATCTGAAGGGGTTGGAAAAGAACTCTAAGAATTCTTATCACATTTGAGAACGACCTGTAGTAAGGCTTCACCTCTTTTGCACATCAAAAAGAACACTAAGTAGCTTAATTACTTTAAATACCTACACTGGGAAACTTTGGATATTAGCAAACAAAGAACAAAGGTTACTGAGTATATACTCTTGTTCAAAAGATACAACACTACATAAAAGCAATAATCTGCTTTAGCAACCCACCTGAGGGGCTGCATTTTCCATCACTTTATTCTACTTTTCATGAGAGATCTTGCCTATCTAGGAGAGAGTTCATAGCCCCTCTTATTGAAGTGGCCAGATTACAAATGAATGATTTCTCCTTTCTTCAAAAATAATTTACCCCAATTGACTCAGGAAGAACTTAAGGATAGCACTTTTATGCTCTTGTATTTCTTTACAAACTGTACTATTGACACTTTCTGCTACAACACCTGCTAACTTATTTTGCTCCTTGTTGCAAATTTAGGACTTCCAAAACCAGTGTTCCTTAGCTGATAATTGCTACTTATTAAATGTCTCTTGAAAATATAATTTTAGAGGAAGAAGCTGGACTATATCTCAGCTGGTCTTCTTCCTTATTTCAGATTCATATATTACCAGATTTCTCTTTGAAAAAAGAGTTTTAAAAGTAATGTTTACTTCTTTCTAAGTACTCCTCTAGGAGAAATAAACAGAAGGAAAAAGCAAACATTATGAACAACCATCTGATAAACTTTAGCAAGGACTGAAAATTAGTACCTCAAATATAATATTGTGTACTGGAATATTGTTTACCAGGCAGTTAAAATTACATGCTTGCTTGTTTTCTTCTTCCTTGGGTTATCTGCTGTCACTATGGGAATCCACAGACAAGGTGAGAAGGGCCTCTCCTCTGATCCAGTACCAAATGCTTAATGCATCAGTGCTCTCTGCTTCCATTTTTCCTTGAAATTACAACTAGATACTACTAGTAGTTTGAAATAATATATACCTTAACAGCACAAGTAACCAGTATTTTTTCCCATTATTATCATAGAATGGATGGGTTGGAAGTGACCTTAAAGACAAGCCAGTTCCAACACCTTTCACCAGACCAGGTTGCTCCAAGCCCTGTCCAACCTAGCCTTGGACACTTCCAGGGATGGGGCAGCCACAGCTGCTCTGGGCAACCTGTTGCCAGGGCCTCCCCACCCTCACAGTATATTACTAATATCTAATCTAAGTCAACCTACTTTCAATGTAAAGCCATTTCCCCTTTTCCTATTACTTCAAGCCCTTGGCCAAAGTCCTCCTCCAGCTCTCTTGGAACCCCTTTAGGACTAAAGGTGCTGTAAGTTCTCCCCAGAGCCTTCTCTTCTGGCTGAACTCGATCTGCCTTTCCCAGGAGAGGTGCTCCAGCCCTTCAGTCACCTTCATGACTTCCTCCAGCAGGTCCACATCCTTCTGATGCTGGTGACCCCAGACCTGAACACAGTATCCAGGTGGGGTCTCATGAGAGCAGAGTTACTGACACACATATTTTTACATTCAAGATCATTTCACATTGACTTTTAAAAATAACATTTCCCACTTTATTTTGGACTTTTACGCTATTGGGGCAAATGACGAAGAAGTGAACTCTTTTCTTTACGTTTCAGTAGTGTTACACTTTTAGCCTCACCGCCAAGGATGGGAAGCAGCAGCAGCAGCTGGTGTTTAGGGAGCTGCAGCACCAACCTGGGCCAGGGCTGTGGGGTGCGAAGCACATGCACGCCCCGTTTCTTCAGACGGGCTGGGAGCGGGGGACTCTCCCTCCGCCACCTTCCCATCCCCTTCAGAGATGCTCTCCGCCGCCTGGAACAGCTCCTCCGCGAGGGCAGCAATGCGGGACGGCGCCTCTTCCCTCAGCAGCTCCTGCACCAGCGCTGTAAGACAGGAGGACAGCGGGGCATGACACGCAGCCCAACGTCAGCCGCCAGGGGCGGCGCTTATCGGGGAGAGCCCAGGGCCCACAGCACCTTCCGCGGCCGCCGCCCGCGGCCCCGCCATGGCCCCTCAGCGGGAGCGCTGCGCCCCGCACTGCGCCTGCGCGCCGCAGCCCAGCGCTCCAGGCGGGCCCCCGAGCTGCCGATTGGCTGCCCGGCGGCTCCGCCCCGCCCCCGCCTGAGTGACAGCCGGCGCGGCCAATCGCGCGGGGCGGGGAGCGGCGTTTCTCGCGCGCCGCTCCCCGCGTCCGGCGCGCGGCGGTTCTGGAAGGATCCCGGCGGCGGGGCCGGCGGGCGCCATGTCGGGGCTGCTGCACACCACGCTCAGCGGGCTCAACAGCGACTCGTACTGCGAGATCAGCCAGTACCGGGACCAGCACTTCCGGGTGCGCCCGGCGCCGCGGGTGGCGGGGCCCGGCCCGGCCCGGCCGGGGCGGGGAGGGCTGAGGCCGGGGCAAGGCCGTGCGAGAAGCCGGGCAGCGGGAGGGCACGGGGCGGTAGGAGCGGGACGGCGAGCGCGCTGAGCCCGCGGCGTGCGCCTCTGTGCCCGCAGGGTAGCAGGCAGCTGCAGGAGAAATCCCTGAAGATTTCCTCCACGCTGTATGTCGGTAATCTCTCCTTCTACACCACCGAGGAGCAGATCCAGGAGCTGTTCTCCAAGTGCGGAGATGTCAAGAGAATTGTCATGGGTCTGGACAAGATCAAGAAAACCCCCTGTGGCTTCTGCTTTGTAGAGTATCCTTTCTGGTTCCCTTTTGTCAGTAGGGATGTGGTTGGCGCCTGTAGTTCCTCTGCACTGCAAGTGTATCTGTACTGCTGCTGGAAAGGTGATAGCCAAGTGCTTCCTACCAGGCACATCCCGTCCATCCTTGCCCCTTCCTCACTGTGCCCTGAGACCGATTGTGTAGTGGTGCCATACGTGACAAGTGCCACCAGAGCTGTAGTTTCTGGAGGCGGCAGAGAGCCCCTTTAATTCATTCGTTTAATGGTTTTATGGCCAGAATGAGAGCTGTTACATTCATCAGTCTGATGTCTTCCATGTCCAGAGCACGTTTACTTTCTTATCTCAACTTTACACCTGAAGGAAGTAGCTGGATAAGCCATGGGGGCGTTTTCAAGCAAAGGGTACATGCTTATACAGGTTGTGCCAGGAGCTGTCTGTGCAGAGCTCTCCTGTGAAGCCTGCTCCTTTTGTTCTATTTCAGTCAAGCTTTACATAGTACAAAAAGGCATATTACTGATTTCTTGCCCTTAGCAAGGCTTTAATGTCTTGTTTCGTTGTCTTGTCTGTGCAGGTACTAACATTAAAGTACAGAATCCTTTCTGAGCCTTAGCTGGTCTTAGCTTAGATTTACATGAGTGCAGTTTTTGATCTCATAGAGAAGAGCAGGAAGAGTAGAAAAGGCTGGAAGGCAGTAGGGGGGGGAGTTCTGCTTCTCAAATACAATACTTTCCCTGGTTTTTTTCCCTGTACCCAACAAAGCACACTTAGTTGTTCTTACAGAGTGCCTCAGATACTACACGAGAGCAGATGCTGAGCATGCCATGAGGTTTATCAACGGCACACGGCTGGACGACCGCATCATCCGCACGGACTGGGATGCAGGGTTTAAGGAGGGGCGACAGTATGGGAGAGGAAAGACTGGAGGACAGGTAAAGGCAATGCCAGTTCATCCCTGAATTTGATCCTCTAAGACTCCGTGTACTTACTTGCTGATTTTGTCCTAGGGAGAACAATGTGCAGGCTGTAAAGACCTGATAATGAAGTTTACTCACTCCCAGGTTGTTTTGGTAATTGACACCTGGTGTTAAAGGCTGGAAATAGAACTTAAGGCCACTTCTGTCTAGGACTCCAAAAGTCCTGCAATGCAAGCAGAATGTTCCCTAAACCAAGCTAGTACTTTTGAAATGATCCAGAATTTGAGTAGAGGGAAGCAGTGTGGCTGCCAGGCCAATCTCAATAACAGCAGTTTCCCCAAGGGCAAGGATGAGGTTTAGATGAGATAAAATGTTCTGAAGGCCAAATCTGGCAGTTCAAAAGGGTGTATGGAAAAGCTGAACAAAAATACTTTGGGGTCTTCTTTGCTTCTTACCTGAAAAATTCTCAACAATCAGATACATCCTTTTGGTCATTTTCACCACCATTACCACGTTTCTGGTGGATTAGTTGAAGAGATCTCAGACGAGTTGAAGTGCTTCTAATCTGAACTTCAGTTCCCCACCAACTGAACAAGGAGGGGATGATGATTCTGAAGTCTAGTAGGGGACAGGCAGTGCTGGCTATTAATACATGTGTTGTTGCTGTGCCCCAGGTGCGAGATGAATACCGGACAGACTACGATGTGGGAAGAGGTGGCTTTGGCAAGATCATTCAGATGCAGAAGGCAAATCACCAGCCTGCAATCTATTAATTGCTTCATGATTCCTAGCTCACAGAGGACTCTGTCCTTCCAGAGCTAGCCCTGTTCTCACATTTGGGTTCAGGGTATGGAGTGAAATCCAAGTTCCTGCAAAAGGTGACTCTCCTTAGACTGCAGATATACATGTGTTCATTCTCCCTTCTTTCTGAGCTAGAGGGGATGTTCTGTGCTGATACAGGGCAACAAGGGAAAAATGGACAGCTCTGTAGGATTTTGGGCAAGAAGAAATGTAGCATGTCACACACATCTTATGCTATGACATACTCTTCATGTTGCACTTAAGCAGGTGGCTTCCTCCAAGCTGCAGCTGCCACTGTGGTTGCTTTCAAACTGAACTTTTTTTAAAAGCTTGCCACCATTGGAGCCCTCCAGGTGCCTGGGCACCCAGTGAGGATGCACAAGAGATTCAGGTTTCTAATTTACAACCTTACCTGCTTAATAAACAGTATCACTGTCTGAATGAGAGAGAAGTGGACAAGGTCTTACGCGCTTGGAGGTGCTTGTCTGCACATCTAGCCCTTGGGTTGGTCAGGGCCTGCAGAACATTTCTCTTTGTGATGCCCCCAGTGCTGCCTTGCTTTTCGGATCCTCACTGTTCGGTGTGGTTTTGTTAAAAGTTTCTGGTTTTTTTTTTTTTTTTTTTTAAATAAAAATTTTTTTTGGGTCTGACTGAGATTGTGTCTGACGGTAACTTTACCCCTAGCAGCCCTCATAGAGCTGTGTTTTGTATTGGTAGCTAGGAAGGTGTTGATAAAACACAAGTTTTGGCTTTTGTTCCCACAGCATTAAGGCTGTCTCTGACATTCCCACCTCACCAGCAGGCTGGGGTGGGGGCAAGATCTTGGGATATTCCAGACGATATGGTATCTGCTGAGCAGCAATAGCTAAGAGAAGGGACATGGGGGGCATTCCTTATTCAAACATCTGTCTTCTGGAGCAGCTGCTCTGTGTACTGAAGCTGTGCTTCCCAGGAGGTAGCCGGACATCTCCTGCTGGTTGAAAGTAGAGAATAAATATTTAGTTTTTCTTTGCTCCCACATGCAGCCTTGCTTTTGCTTTATTAAACTGTCTTTATCTTGGCCCACAAATTCCGTTCCCATCTTACTTTCTCCCTGCCCCGCTCCCACTGAGCAGGGATGTGAGAGAGCAGCTTGGTGGGTAGCTGGTGTCCAGGCAGGGTCAGCCCACCACAGTTTAGTGCCCAGTGTGGGGCCTGAGGCAATGGCTGTTCTGTGCTAAGTGTGCTTTAGCCATAGTAGTTACTAAGTAGGCAGCTCCTGTTGAGTCACGGTGTTTGTTGGCTGCATTTCTTATCTCTTTACTTTGCTGGGCTTTGGGAACATGTTAGTACAAACCATGGCTCTGTGCTTTGCCCTGGCACAGATGGCCTTGCTCTGCTGGGGGAGCTGCCTTGTGGAGAGGATCCCATTTCCCACTCCCACCTGGTGTGGGTGGCTTTATTGTTCCTGCTCAGCCTTACATGAGATGTTTAATACTAGTAATTAACACAGTTGACATATCATGGGGTCTGTGTATTCTGATGTCATCCTAATGTAAGAGAAGACAATTTTTTGGGTGAGTCAATACTGAAATGTGCCCTGAGGTGGCTGGTCCGTGGGTGGCAGGATTTGGGCAAGTGCCTGGGCTAGTTATCACCTCCCATAGCCTGGGACTCCACCTGAACAAGCAAGAAACCCTGGGAAACTGACATGCCAAAGGTGCCTACCCCAGTGAAAACCAGCAGGTTCTGGCACTGTACTGGGGCTTGGCATGTGCCTGCAAAGCCACAGTTCAGGGATGCCAGAGGGCTGTGTTTAACTCGGGAACCCCAGCCACCTCTGAGAGTAACTTGATTGAGACTGGGGACAAACTCCATCTGAGGTGATAGTAGAGATAGGGGCCCAAACAGGATCAACGATGCTTGCCCCAGTTGTGGAAAAAACCCAGTGGACAATGGGTCTGTATCACCAGTTATTAGGGGAGGAGGGAGAAGGGTTCCATCAAGAAGCTGGTCCTCGAGAAAAGAAAATGCAGGAAGGAGTGAGGGAATTCAGGCAAGAAACACAAACCACCCAGTCTAAACTCATCAGAACTTTTGAGATGGGCAAAAAATACAGCCACCAGGTATATGGAATCCTTACTGGCTGTTCTGATGCTGGCATAATGGGGTCCAAAGTCATCAGGAAGATAGGGAAGCCCAACAGCTCTTCAGCTCTTGGGAACAAAATAAGGGATGTCACCATGTGCCTATGGATGTAATCAAGATACCAACTATGCCTCTACCAGCTAACAAGGAGACCCCAGCTTTCCTAGGCTTTGGGGAAAGTGCACGTTCCAGGTTAATGTTAGCTTGTGAACTCTCTCCATGGAGTAACCTAGACGAATCACAGAGTGGGTTGGGTTGGAAGGGACCTTAAAGACCAGCTAGTTCTAAGCACCTTGCCATGGGTAGGGACACCCCTGAGGAGGAAAGTGACACAAGTGGCTTGGTGGGCATCTGGTATCCAGCTATGGTCAACCCACTCCAACAGTGAGTCCCACAGCAGTTGGAGTTTGTGTGTCAGGATCACTTTATGACACAAACTGGGGAGACAGGGGAACTCATCTGTTGGTGTCTTAAAGTTGCTGTCACTTGTAAACATGGAGATAGACACTAGGAGGGTGCACAAGTCTCACCGTAGTTCTCTGCACTTCTGTCTTGCTAGCTTTTCCCCTCCTGCTGTGCAACAGCTCATGGCTGATGTCAAAAAAAGTTGCTTATGCTCCGAATCAGACCAGTCCTCATGTTTCATATCAGCAGTTCTGGAAAATTCAGAAGAATTTTCCCTGTCCTGTCACCTGTCCCACAATTGGAGTAGCTTATAAAACATTGCAAGTGCTCAGTGGTCACTTCAGAGAGGAAGGGGCCAAGAACTCCCTCCCTGTGTTTTTTTTAATTTTAAAATGAGCACAGCCAGCACTCTCTAGCCTGTTCTTACGTACGAACAAGAGACAAGAAGAGATGTAAACCCTTTCTGATCTGTCCCCAGGAACCTCTCAGCTAGGGCAAGTAATTCCGTTGAACAAGTTAAATTCTGTGTAAATTTGGTTTGTATTATGTAAACAATAGCAGCTGCTGCCTGCCCAGTAATGTGTCTTGATTTTTCATGCATTATCTTGTCCAGGATGATAGAAACTGTTGCACACCTACGTGCAGACCAGACAGTTAAATTAGTTTAACACTCACCCCAAAGTCTTGATAACTGTGCTGGTAGGGGTGTTACATTTAGTTTGTCAAAATGTCTCTTACCTGTTTGTTTTGCAAGTCAGGTTGCTGTGCCCGTACAACTGCCACAGGTCTTGAAGGAACTGCATGTTTATTCTTCAGCAGGTTTAAAAAATGTCAGCATTGACCAGCCTGTGATGCAGGCTGCCCCTGAGATGCAGTGAAATGGAAAAGGACATTGACTTAAAAATGGAAAAATAAGAGCAGTCATCTGTCCAGCCTTGCAAAACACCAACAGTGTGAGGTCCTGAGTGGAGAATACAAATTAGAATAATTGCTTGGGTAACATAGCAGGAAAATGGGAACGCTTAAGGAGGACAGGAGGATGTAACAGCCTTAAAACTGTGATTAGCAAAGAAATCTCTGTGTATGAAGTTGGGAAGCCAGCACACCTGTGCAGCCTTTGGCCATCCTGATGGTGGCAGAGAAGCAGTAGTTCATCAGGAAGTGACCACACTGATGGAAAACTACCCATCTGCACCATAAACGTGCCACTTGCACTGCCTGTGCTGCCTCTGCCATCTCCTCTCTGCACCACTCACTCACAGGCTCACTTCCACCATAGTGGGGTGTGGGTGCCATGGGGGTACAACTGTCTCAGAGAAGCTCCGGGGTGACACCCTTCTGGGTGCAGGCATCATCACAGCACATTGGCAGCTCCAGGACAGACTGAGAGGGACCACCCTTTGGTTAGTTGCATTGTGGACTGGGGGATAAGAGCAGGCCCAGGGCACCAGCTGCAGCACTGGGAAGAAGGAGAGTAAGCGAAGAGCAACCATGTATCAGCAACTCATCATGCCAGACCTGCAAAGGCAAAGCGAGGCGAGCGTTAAGCCTGTGTGTTTAGAGAGCTGACCACCTGCCACAGCTCAAGGCAAGAGGATTATTGGATGCACACAGGCTCCTCACAGCTACTGGGTCATGTGAGCTTAAGCTCACCACAGAGAACAGAAGAGTTGGGGCCTGCCTGGAGCCAGGTGAGTAAGGAGTGGTAAGAATCTCACGCATCACCAGCTTTGATTTCCTGGAGCCCTTCTGGACTGTGAGGGCTTACAGCACAACCCAGTGCTGCTGCAGAAATATCAGGAGCTGATACCAGTTTACTCTGTTCCACCAATTACTCCATCTGCCTGGAGTCAATTCCCTAGATTCCAGGACTCAGGTCCTAGTGATGGGTTCATCCCATTCAGCAGTCACTGCAGCTCCACTCCACCAGCAGGGAAGGGGATCTGACAGTTCTCAGGTTTACAGGGAAGAAGACGGCACATTAACTCCTCACAATGAAGCATTTGGTGTCACAGAGCAGACTTGCCAGCCTATTTTAATTCCCAAGCGGATCAAAATTTAATCTGCGGCTACATCTCTGCCTGCCAGGGCCTGTTCTGGCCAGGGAGTAGTGCAGGGGCAGACTCTGCAGCTGCAGCTCTCCCTCCAGAGGCTCAGCAGCACAGCCCCCCATCTCCATCTCCATCTCCCAGCCTGCATGGCCACACTCATAGCCTCTTGGCAGCCCCCCTGGAGGTGGCAAGCATCTGGTGTCCAGAGAGCTGCTTTGAAGGCTCCACCAAAAAAGCCCCATGACCCCCAAAACCAGCTGGATATGAAGTTATGAATGCCATGGGATGTGGTAGAGCCAGATGGGGAGGGAGGCTGGCAGTCACCCACTGTCTGCACCCCCAACACCCCAACCCACCAGCACTGCATCCCTGGCATGACCCCAGTGTGGAGTTGCGTTATGTATATGTTTTATTATCCCTGTATTATGTATTGGTTTATTCCTTTGTACCCCCGTGTGCAACTTGGTTTATCCCCAGTTTTCCCGCCTTGTCCGCCCTTCCCGCCTTCCCAGTATCTATCCATCACCCTGAAAGAGGCATTTTACCCCCCCCGGGTGCCTTGTCTATCACTCGGTGCCCCTTCCCATCCATCCAGAAGCTTCTACT